ATTCACGTCTTTCTAGTTGCCTCCTATGCCGGGTAATTAAAGGCAGTCTTTAATGAGACGAGATAAATATAGTGGATGCAATTGTTTGTTTTCTCCTTGGAAATACGATCTCAACTAGTGTTACGCCCAAGGATGGATGATAAGAAGCGTATTCTCAGTGGTGATGTGAAGCACAAATCAGACTGCAGCCTTGGCCAGTGGCAGGAAGCACCTGAGTACAAGAAATCCTGTAAGTTACTGAAAAATTTATTGCAAAATACTGTGCTTGAGAACCGCCCTTATTATATTTCAATTAAGTTTCTCAAAAGGGGGTGGAGAAAAAGCTGCAAAAAATAGTGTATCTGAGGAAAACTGACTATAAATAGCTTCAAACACCTTGTGTGGAAAACAGCTGAGTGTCTGGGTTTGTTTTTTTCTGTCTTTTCTGCCTTGCCTTAATTGCTATCAATTAGACCACCTTTACTTTGTACTGAAACGTGTGGCTGAGTTCTCACGGGTAGTAACAGTTTTGACTGGAGAGTGGCATCTGAATACCAGTGTGGTTGCAGGAACATATCTGTTGATGTCTTCACAGCATGCTGGGACCTGGCGTTCATCTCCACTGCTGCGGTAGCTACAGACCGCCTTGTCCTCGCCAGCGTTTCACCTTGTGCTAATTAGGTCAGACTGAGTATGTTTTTCTTCCCTGAAAGAGAGAAGATCTGAAAGTGTCAGTCATCAGAAAGAGCCCTGGGTGCTGGGTGGGACCTCAGGTGACCACTGTGTTACTGGACTAAGGATGCATCATTCAAGATTTGTGTTTCTCAGTAGGAAAAAGGCCCGTCCCCTGCCAGCAGCCTTTGTAGGAGGAAGATTTAAGGACAGGGTTGTCTCTTGTTCTAATTTCTGCTTTGTTGCACTTGTCCCTTTCATTGGATTTTTGATTAATTAGTCTGGTGCCCTCTTTGAGGGTTGCTAGTGATCCGTGAAGTGTTGCGTGGGGCAGTCAGCGTGGAAATAGGTTCTTTATAAATTGCGGGTCGATGCCATGGAGATACCTGGGGGCAGGGATGCTTTTGTCCTGGGGGTGCCCGTGAAGGGGAGTGCTGTGCTGGCAGCTACTGCACAGAGGTTTTGTCCCGGTGAGAACTCCACAAAGCAAACTCTTGTCTCTTCTGTACGTCAGCGGGCTTGTTGTCAAATTGATCTCTACTGAAAATAGGGGGAAAGGATGTTTTTGCCAGAAGAGGAAAGAGAGCTGAAAGCTATTTGCTTTAAGTTTGAACTTCGAATGTGAAGGCTGCTTTTCTCTTCTCAGTTCTCCTAGAAAGCAAGGTGTACCTTCCTACCCTTATATTTTAGCTTGTCCTAATAAGAGGCACTTTGTTAATCAAGACAAACACGCTGCCCTGCTCTGATGGAAACGTGCTCACAGTGAAGGGAAGAATAAAGCATTGTACCTGAAGTCAGCTCCCAAACAGGGTGGTGAAGGGAGAGAAGGAGAGCAGAGGGCAGGGGGAGAACTGTCAGAGGATTTGGAGAGTTGAAAATTGTACTCTTTTAGCACCATTTCCTTAAGAGGAAGCCTCTCAGAGTTGCACTCTTCCCAGAAATCCCTCCCAGCTTTGGTAGCTTTGCATGGTGATTCACTCCTTTGTCTTCTGCTTCCAAGCAGCTTTTGGGGAGGCATGCTGTGCTCCCAGTGCTGGAGATTAACCATGCCCTGCTGCTTCTGTAGCATGTGTCCTAAGAGAGTCTTCAAAACTCTGTCCCAATGTCACAGTGTCACATCCCCCACTAATAAAGGCACTTCTGGGCAGCAGTGGGGAAGTAACAAGTGCAGGGCAGCGAAGTGCAGGAGCTTGGGACTGGATACCAGCAAAATGTGTGGTTGGAAATGGCAACTGTAGAGAAGTGATTTGCTGGAGTATGTACTCTCGGTGGTTCATCCCAGGGAAGGAAGCAGCCCTTCCCTCCCCTGTTTTTGGGCCAAGGAGGTGTTGACACTGTACTCTCCTGTAGCCTGTGAACATAAGGGCTATTTTCAGGAAGTTTATCTCTACCTTTTTTAATACCTTTTTTCCCAATAATCACTGTTATTAATGAAACTTCTGCTGTAGTGTATGTACAATGTTATTCCTGCAGAAACAACACAGCTCTGCCTGTGCTTGTGTGACAAAAATGCTGTATTACAAATAAGTGCCCTGCAGTACGTCTGTGTTCCGCAGAAGGGATGGACACGTGCGCTGTAACAGGAGAGGAGTCGAAAGCAATCTAACTGCTTTTGCTTCCTCTTTGGGGCTATCGATG